CATAAAATGGTTCAGATTTTGTTTGGTATGTTTTGTATAAATTAATTCATAAATTCTCTGTTTCTCTAAATTTTTGTAACCTTTATTCCAAGGCTTATATAAAGTTGGAGGGCTCTGTAATGAACCACATAATTTTTCTTAGGCATGAGTGTCTGAAGTAACTTTTCTCCTAATATATATTTTCCTTCGCCAATTTCCGAATCATTTACCAAGTCTTTATTATATGGGCTAAGCCAGTTTTTAGGTACAACACCTTTTTCAGGTGCTAATGGGTAATCATTGAATAAATCGTGCAAGTTTACTTAAACCTGACGAGGACAAAAAACTTAAACGTCTTACCTCATCTCCTTTATATGTAGGTTTTAAGGTTTTCGAAGGCGGAATTACAGATATGCTAAAAAGCCAGATTACTCTAAATAAGCCGATGTTTGTAGGGCAAGCAATTCTCGATATTAGTAAGGCTATGGTGTATAACTTTTGGTATGGCTATATTAAACCCCGTTATGGGGAAAAGGCCCGTCTTTATATTGATACCGATTCACTAATTATGTGGACTATGGCATCTATTATATTTATTTGTATATTAAATGAAAATATTTTGCGTGTAATTTACACATCAAAAAAAACTGCATAAATTTTTGCCATATTATTATAGAAATGCGATTATTTCATAAGCATAAAAATACATAGGAGTAAAGTTTATGTAAGTTTACAGATATTATAGCGTTTTATGCATCCGTAAATTTATGGATTCATCTAATTTATATAATGTTTTGACATAACTTTTGATGTTTTTGTAATTTTATGCCTAAATTTTGTGTAAAAAAGCGTAAACATGTAATTGTTGCGTAAGATGAGTCTAAAAAATTTGCTGATGGCCATCCTTACAGATAGTATTAAATCCGGTGGAAGATGTTGGAAGAGAAGCGGTACTGATATTGCATCAGGTACTCACTCCTATAGAAATTTTTCGAATTCTATCTCGATATGATTCCGGTGCGTCAAATGGGCTAAATTTTTCTCTTAGCAGGACCTGGATGCCCATATTCATACCGCCTACATTTTCTTCAGCATATTTTGAATGTAGCCAGGCATTGAAACGGTCAGGAGTATCAATATTTACAGCAGGGTTTACATAATTATTTTGCGCCGGTACTGGATGGTAAGGGTCAGCCATTTTGCTTGATAGCACACTTACCTTATGCGCATCAGTAAAATTAACATTTCCGGCTATAGTAGGGTGCAAGAATAATTTTGTAATTCGTTCATACCAAGCATCTGGATGCTCTTGTCCAATATATTCGAGGATATTTGCAAGTGATGGGGCAATAATGTTCGAACATTCTATAACTGTTGCTGCCATATTTTGTGGATTATTATGTAGCGCTAAAATTTGTTGCTGTAAATTAAAAATATTCTGATTCAAATTCGTAATTATTTGTTCACTATTTCGGGAACGATTTTTCCACTTACCCCACTTGATATCAATCTGAATGTCACTAAGTAATAAATCATCGCGGCATGTATTCAAATTTCGTTGTAGATTTCTACTGTTATTACGAAATTGTTGAAATTTTTGTCTATAATTATGGCATAATAGTTGAGGTGCCACTTTTTCACGC